TTGTTGACGAGTGCTCTCAGGGAGCAGGAGTGCAAGCCGAGTAGAAAATCGTTCGGCTGTCTGTTGTGATTGCAGCTTCTCGACGTCGAACCTTCCTTGTGCTTGATGGCGTGCGTTTCTTGCTGCACARAGCCGCGTGCGAATCTTGGCTGCAACAAGATAGTGGTCCGAGTCGATGTTAGGACCTCGGAGTGCACGCACATCTAAAACACTGGAGACGTGTCTTCCGTCTATCACAACAAGATCGATGTGGTTGGTGGTTTTTCGATCCGAAGATAGCCAGTTAGCTTGATGTATCTTCTTATGCTGGAATCTAGTACTACAGAAAACCATATTTCGGGCCCGGCGAAGTCGATCAGCCTCAACCCATTTGGGGATGTTTCTTCGTGGAGGCTGAATTTACCGACCGTAGTGCCAAAGATACCTTCTTTGCCCACCCTGGCGTTAAAGTCGCCAAACACGATTTTGACATCGTCGCGGGGGCAGCTCTCATAAGTACCTTCCAAGCATTCATAAAAGGCATCTATGGCCACATCGTCCCTCTCCTCCGTCGGGGCGTGGGCGCAAATCAGCAATATGTTGAAGAACCTCGCTTTGATGCGGATTGCGGCTAAATGTTCATCGGTGTGAATGACGGAGTCTCTCTCCCACCACGAATTCCACACCAAATGTGGGCTCCTTTATATGGCCACTGTAGTAAATGCCACAAGAACCTACTCGTCTCTGTCCTCGTCCCGTCCATCGCATTTCTTGAACGGCGGTGATGTCAGCCTTTATTTTTACGAGGACATCAACCAGCTGGGCAGCGGCACCTTCCCACTCAAGGGACCGGACATTCCAGGTGAATGCCCTCAATTCGTAGTCCTTATTTCGTTTGCCATGGTCGTCATCAAAATTGGGGTCTCTCATCCGAGGCTGTTGTTGCGTTTTCATGGGGGTGGTTTTTTTACGTTGCGGGTCCCAAACCCAGCGCACAACCCTATGCAGGGAATGTTTCGCCTTCTAGCTTTAGCTCGCCTTCAAACGGATGTTCTTAGGCTACCCAGAGGATACTTGATCAAGTACCGGAAGTCGTGAGCTGCTTGAGTCATATGGAAAAGAACCGTTTCGGGCCACTCCCAAGTGAATGTCGATCAGAGAACTTTCCTCCCTTGCGTGAACTTCTACACATGACTGCATCCTCCAGAGTGTGTGTGTGATTTTTAAGATAGTCAAATTAAAACAAATATTGGTCATTTAGCCGTGGAATATTATATAGCTTAGCTTAATTACAAATGAGATTTTTGTGTCGTCCCCTTATTTTCAAGATAATGATATCCGACCCTCCACTTCACTTTCTCCATCTATACCAAGTACACAGAATTTTGCCCGTTTGTTTATTGTCATCTATACTATATCGTCCCACACCCCAATATGGAAAATATAGTATTTTTGTAAGATGTTAAATGCTGGGCATGACGTTAAATGTGACTAGCAGTCAAGCTTATAGCGAGATTCTGTAACCAGTCTCTAGACCCTATTTGAGACATTTTGAGATAAAATCTCAATTTGTGACTAGTTGCTATTCAGTAATAGCAGAACCAGTGAAAAACGCTACTGCCTTCCTTCCTTTTTCTTCCTCATCGGCAAAATGTGTGAGCAGTGAAAAACGAGGCAAAAACGCAGAATTCAGCCATCTTTGTTTGTTTTCACTTGCACAATGTTGCCATTGTTCAATACGCATATATAGTTTTGTACACATCTATGTTTTCAATTACAGTTTTTTGTAATATAAAATATCAAAACTGAAAACAAATTATTAAAAATAGTTTATATATTTATATATAATAGCATTCGACCCTGATTTTGAGTTATTTTAAGAAAATGTCAAACATATTGAACAGGCTGAATTATAAAAGTTGATAATTACTACAGTATATAGATATTGGCAACCCTGGGTTGTGAGAGAGCAATCAGTTGACACGTTTCCACGGCAAAAACCAAAATGCTGTAGATTCCCACGTCATCCTACGTCAAAGAGAGAAGGGAGTAGCGTTTTCCACTGTGCACTTACATTGCGCGCCCATACAGCTGACACGACCCACGATTCTACGTTTTTCACTGTTCCTGCTATAAACAGTCTCTAGCGTTATATCGGGATTCTGCAACCAGTCTCTAGTCTCTCTTTGAGACATTTGCGACTAGTTACTATTCACTAAATAGTCTCTAGCGATAGTCTCAAACTATTGGTAGTTAGCGGGTCACAAAACCAAAAAGAACTCTTGTCTGCCATTTTGAATATACTGAAAAGAGAGCACCATAGATTTTAAATTGTCTTTTTTTTAATATTTTGTAAGCAACTCAAACTCGAAAAAGTTAAAAATAAATAAATTTTACATAAATTTCGTAAATATTATGAAACAAAGTTAACATATATTTTTACTTTTATTGATAACTAGCTGACCCCGCAGCCGTTGTCCTGCGTGAAATTATGTGTTTTGAAATGAAAAGAAAGTTGAACTTATCATTTCATTTATTTTTTTCAA